GGTGATACTGTGATCGAGTGCGTGGACACCTTTAAATCATTAGGAATAACATTCAGCAATACAATGTCATGGGATGCACATGTTAATAATCTTTCCTCAACACTCTCTAGAATAATTGGAATCACTTCTCGTAACAGATATATTTTTCCAACCAAAACAAAACTTACTTTGTACTATGCATTTTTCTATTCCCATATAAGCTATTGCCTACTAGTCTGGGGCAATACAACGGTGTCAAATATAATAAAACTACAAGCCCTACAAAAGAAAATGCTCCGCGCAATTGTGAATGGCTCTTACGATTCGCCCACTAAACATATCTTCCTACAATATAATATTGTACCAGTCAACAAATTATTCGACTACAGATTTGCATGTTTTTATAAAAGAATAATAAGGAAAAATGACCCCTTTTTTTCTAAATTGCTCCACTTACGTTTCGCCACTCATCATATGATACTAGAGCCCAAAGTAGTTATGTATTACCAAAGTGTAGAACAAATTATGGTTTTTCTATGTTGAGTTATATTGTGCCAAATTTCTTGAACACATCATTTTATGACTGCCTGAATACTATGTCTCTTTCTGCCATTCGCAAGAGCATTATTCGCCAATATGTATCATTGTAATATCAAATGTACTCATGTCTTCATATGTTGTACCAATTCTATGTTATTGCTTTATAGTGAAATTACTGTTGTCAATTATGATACATAGGTCTTTTTTTTGTTTTGTCACTTTTTTTTTTTTTTTTCCGCTACCTACAAGACCTGGTTGTTTACTTACAAGACCTGGAACAGTGGTTGTTTCTGCTTAGTGCCCTACTGCTGACATGTGGGGATGGCCAGGCTCGTCAAGCGGCGTAAAATTCGCTGCTTTTTTCTCGCCATCCCTAGTTTGTATGTTTGTATGTGCAAACTGAAATAAAGATTTTGATTGATTGACTGTCGTTTGCAGCAAGCATTTTCTGCTTAGTGACTATACCAGCGTACACAGAATCAAAAAACTTGCTCGTGGCGCGGTGCCTACTGTGTTTCAACGATACCAATCGCGCTGTGTACCCGCTACGAAGGAGCCATGTCAAGTAACAGAGGGTCAAGACTCAGCAACTTCGAGCGAGCCAATGAAACAAAAGGCAGGGCCAGCTTATGCTTCGGTGTCGTCGCAAAGAGAAGCCGAACAGAAATTCAGTAAGTAAAAGATGAGCAACTGGGCGCCTCCAGACCGGCCGCGGCTTAGATTTAGGTGAACGCTGATGGACACCTAGCGCCAAAATTGGAAGCTCGAGATGCTTGCCTTGTTTTACAGTCCTGCATGCGTGAACACTTCTGGCCGATTGTGAGTAACAAACATTGCCTTAACGTATTTTAACTTGGTTTGAAAGTATGTCTAAAGGAACACTGACATAAAATTTACGCGTGTCAGCATTTTTGCATCCACGAGTAGTTGTGGATGCAAAAATGGCTGATAGATGGGTCGTACGTTGGATTTTTGGGCATATAAAGGGATTAGACGAGAGAAGACACAGCAATGTTTGGCTGATTTTGGCAATTGTGAATTCCAGTCAGCGTGCTGTGCTATAATATTTGGCTCGCGTGTTGTCGGAAGCCTCTACTACCGATAGGCAGCCTTTTCTGACCATGCTCCAAAGGTGTTGCAGGGCCCCTTTAAACGAACTAGGTTCGGCGGAGACGTGTCACGTGACTGAAGTTACGCGATATCTTCGGCGGAAATGGTGTCGCGCGTCTAGTGCCGGGCGATACTGGCGGGAACATGTGATGTGACTATAGTCGTACGTTAACTTTACGGGAACGTGTCACGGGACAAGTGTTACGTGATTCATGCGTTATCGTGTCACTTGGCTAATGCTACGTGATTTTGCGTCGTTTTCCTCCTCCTTTTTTTCTTTCTCTGTATCTTTTCCTCTCTCTCTCTCTCTCTCTCTCTCTCTCTATTTCTTCTTTTTTGTTTGTCCTTGTATGTCTTAAAGGAGCACTGACATCAAAATGACTAATGTCAAGATTTTTGCGTCAACGAGTATAGCTATAGACCACCCAGTAGCGATTCGCGACATAAAGCGCGTCTGAGTGACGAATGAGTGTCTGCAATATTAATTAATATATTCGCTATCGAACGCGGTTCAAGATGGTTGGAAAGCCCGCCAAATTGTAGTGCTGGCAGCGCTACCTCACGGCCACGTCGATGCCGCTGCACAGCTGATGGCCGCTTTCAGAAAAAATGGTGACGTCACACTGGCGTTTTGTCTGCTAGGAACGCACGTACAGTTAGTCAAACTATGTCTCTGAAGTCGTATAGACATGCCTCTGTCGCCAATTTCGTCGTCCTCGCCGTCGTCGCTGTCAACATCGGCAAGTGACGATGACAGCGCCCTCCATGGAGTTGGGTATCGCCGCGATTAGCGAGGATCTTCGCTTGACAAGCTTCGCGTTAAATGCAGTTTGTTTATCAGTCCTGGCCGTACTGTCAGAGCTCGGGAACACCGACTACGCACCTCATGTCGTGGACGTCAGTTGGCGAGTGAATCGCTGCTATCAGCTGCAGCAGCTAGGACATGCGGTGGGAATAGCTCTGGCCTCGAGAGGAGGCCTCGTGTACTGCCAGTGAAACCCAACTGGTTCGCCAACGCAGGATTTACCCTGTAGCAGCTCGCCGCAAAGTGAAGGGAGCAAATGTGGCTGTTCTTCACAAGCGTCCAGTCCCTCTGTCCAATGGCGTTTACAAAGTCAACCCACTGGCTGTGTTCAGGTTCGTGGCTTGGAAATGCATGAAATTCCAACACACTTTCCGCTTCTTCCGCGCCTCGACGTGCTGGTTCTCACTACGCGGTTCCCCGACATTCTGGCCACACTGTCGCTCTGAATGATTGTACTCGCACGCAGCGCAGCACAAAACGCAAATCAGTCGATGCGACACGATGAATTGCACGCACGCTTCAACACAGCAAGGAGAGCCACTAGTGAGACCATGGCCGGAAGTCGGCTCCAAACACACTCGGAGATCGTCGACGTCATCGTTACTAGCGTATCGTCACTCAGGATGGTATTTGTGGAATGTATCACACCGAACACCTAGCACTATAGTGTCGATGTCGCAGGGCAGTCTACTTTTCCGTTTTTTCCCCTTAGCTTTCCAACGCTGTTTGACGTCGAAATAAAACAAGCCTCGATGGAATGGACGCCATTCAAATTTGGCCAAGAAAACGTATGCATACCAAGTGATCGAATGATGGGCACATCTCGATCTTGAAATTTGATGTCAGTGCTCCTTTAGGAACAACGTGATGCCCCGCCGTGGTGGTCTAGTGGCTAAGGTATACTCGGCTGCCTACCCGCAGGTCTCGGGATCGAATCCCGGCTACGGCGGCTGCATTTTCGATGGAGGCGAAAATGCTGTATGTAGGCCTGTATGCTCAGATTTGGGTGCACGGTAAAGAACCCCGTGCAGGTGGTCGAAGTTTATGGAGCCCTCCACTATGGCGTCTCTCACAAGGGTATGGTGGTTTTGGGACGTTAAACCCCATCAAATAATATCATCAAGAACAACTTCATATCAGGCGATTGTTAGGTTAGTTGGTGCATCTTAACACAAAATATATAACCCGCGCAACATGACCCACACGTAAACTTTCCGGAGTCCTCGACTACGGCGTCTCTCATAATCATATAGTGGTTTTGGGACGTTAAACCCCACAAATCAATCAATCAAATCACACGTAAACCCAGACACACACGCACAGGCAAACGCAGACTCGCAACTATAGCTTTTATTCCACACAGTCTACCTACTAACATACACCTGGCAAAACTCGTCACCACGGAAATATAAGAAAAGCAAACATGAGACAGCATTTTAACAACGGTCATCGATACACCCCATCTCGGTATCTCGCAAAACAACAACAACAACAACAACAAACAAACAAGATTCGCTAACGCCACGAGTTCCCTTCTTTCTTGTGTAGTACCTTTCGCAAATGTCCCTCGCTATACTATCAGAACAGCGGCTCAAGATAACATCTTAACAGTTCGACAGCATCACCCGAAACTTGCACTCGCATAAGTGGATGATTTATCGGTAGTAAACAATACAAGCGGGCACTTTCCACACCCACTGCGGCGAGTGCAAGTGTGAGACGATGCTCGGCGATGGTTTCTGTCAATCGATTGATGGATGTGTGGGTTTAACGTCCCAAAACCACCACATGATTATCAGAGACGCTGTAGTGGAGAGCTCCGGAAATTTCGACCACCTGGGGTTCTTTAACGTGCACCCATATCTGAGCACACGGGCCCAGAACATTTCCGCCTCCATCGGAAATGCAGCCGCCGCAGCCACTGCCAATCGTACTTATATAGGTGGACTGCATGCAAAGAAAGTTTGGTCGCAAGTGTGCGCTTGCATGCGTGTGTGATTTAATTTTGTGCCTCAAGTTGCGCCGGTGATCTGTCTTGTCTTTCGGTCTTTGTGTTGTGACCTTATGTGTTCACCTCTTTCTTTTTTATATCTTTTTTGTGTGTGATTGCGTCACAGCCGCATTCGTTAGGGGAGTGAAGCAGGAGGTGAAGAGTATATACGTAGAAGAGAGCGCGCCGGTTTGACGGTATAACAGTTTTCACGAACGCTATAAGCATCCCGCGTTTTGTAAACAGGGGTATGCGCCGTCGACATACCGAAGCGCTTGTAGTGACGTGACGCCGTGCTAGCCCCGGCCAGCACAATCCTCGCCACCACCGCCCTCTATGATCACAGGAAGACTGTCTTCATGAGTTTGAGAATGGAATAAGCTCTATCCTATGTGGGTTCATGCGTGCTGCCATTTAGATTGTAGCAAGGTTTTTGTAGAGTCTTCAGGGACGATGGCGCAGGGGGGAATGTAGGGTTTTTTTTTAACACTTTTTTCTAATGACGAATTTCGCACGAACGATTGCTTCTTTGACGGAGACGTACCTGGCTGGATCGCACGCAGGTGATCATGCAGCGCAGAAATTCCGCACCATGAGGACCAAGTACCAGGACTTGAAGCGTATGAACGATGCTTCGCGCTACTACGGAAAGTACGTTGGTCGGCCCAGGTGGCGCTACTACGATCTCATGGACGAGTTCTTGCGAGGGAACGAAGACGCTCCGAACCCTGCACCCTCCGAGACACCAGTCATGTGAGTTTCCCGTATCATTAGAGAGGGGTTACCGGTCGTACCTTGATAACGGAATCGAAGTGCGCATGCGCAGATACGTACGTCACCCGTACCGCTTCCCGTACGCGCGGTATTTTTCAGATTTAAGGTTACCTTGGTAGCGTACACTCTAAGCCGAAATTCGGCAAAGTTGGACTAACTGCAGTCGTTAAACCAATGGACGAACGGTTCGTCCAACAGGGACTAAATGTGTGACAATGCGTGTCTTGCGCAAACGCCCGGCAATGAAGGGACCAACGGGGAGGGCAACTGCGCCGCGATCGCCTCCTGTCGATGCTGCACTGCAATGCTCGGCGTGGTCGGCGATCATGAAAACAAGTTAAATAGGCTATACGCCACTGTGAAAGTGAAGCACTATGAAACGAATAGAAGATGTTATTAGAGGAAAGTAGTACAACACGCTGTCAGTGCACACAGCAAGTGCCCTCGCGTTTCCACCATGCCGGCACGGGCGAGCCGAAGCCAAGTGAAAGTCTCCGCAAACACGGGCAATGCCGAGAACTCGCTTTAATGTGCTAAATAAGTTCGAACTACGGTGAACACTGACAATGCTAATAAAGGTAAGCTGTTCATCAGCGGTCGTGTACCCACACAGTGACCACAAGTTCAAAGCGATATATAGGAAAAGTAGGCTTCGTACGTCATCGGTATCAAGCGGGCTGCCGGTGTGAGTGCATTGCCGGCTCAAGCGAAGGAAACGTCGCGTACAAGTTCACAGAAATAGTAGCTCAGGCAAACTTATGTCTTTTTATCCATGCGACAATCGTTATCAAAAATCCAACGTGTAGGCGATCGCGGATACGACTAATCGTGCGGCCAGCGGTACACAGGTTGTGCTTTACCAGCACGATGAAAGAACCGTGCCTGCGAACGGTCTCGTCGCTGTAAGTATACAGATATCTACATCACTCCGTAAGACACAGCGAACATGGGGCACTTACCTATTGTTCATTTGCGACTATAAAATAACGACGACGAAAATTTCACGCGAGCCGCATGTTGCGATCGCCGGCGGTCGTTGAGCCGTACTCGTCGTAAGCCTAGCGACGCCGTCGGCAAGCCGACACGGTATGGCATCGGCGGGGCGGGCGCCTGCGGCTGCTTCGCCGGCTTTCCCGCACAAGCGCCGCTGCTATGTTTGTGTTTGCGGACTCGTGCGCCAACACTGCGAACGCTGGTTCGGCCGACATGATCGAATACCAGCTGATAATTCGTATTCTCGGGCTGGAGGCATGTTGAAGATTAGATGGATCCATATTAAAAGATCGATGCGCATCGGTGCTACGAATAAGCCCATGTAAATTTTCGCGTTACGGTGTCAATATTTATTGTTTTCTTAAGCCAAGTAAAAGTCGCCCACTGGCACTAGATGGGAGGTCAAAATACTGTGCTATAGTATATATACCCGAGAGTCTATTCTCTGTAGTACAGCGCGGGCAGTCAGTGTTTGCGGTGTTTTACTTTGAAATAATAGTGCGTATGTATGTGTGTGTGCGTGTGTGTGTGTGTGTGTGTGTGTGTGTGTTGCATGAATAATACACCATGATCTTCAGTGCTGATTAAATTGGAATAAACATAAAATATACTGCACAAACGCAGTGTCGCCATTTTTTTTTTTTTGCCATTGGTCCAGACGGTTCAACTGTTAGTCCCGCTGGAGCATTCTACTGGGGCCAACATTTAAACCAAGTGGAGTAAGTGCTTGGGGTAACAGTTGAGCCCTTGCAGTTACTCCCGCAGTTAGTCCAAAATTGGTTCAAAATCTGTGGCAGCGCATTTAGACCCCTAAAGGACCAATGGCATACCCCACTTTAGTCTTTTTCGGCTTAGAGTGTAGGTGTACGTAGTGTACATAAACATGGCGGCGCTCTCGGACGCCCGCTTCGAAGTGGTTTTGGCGCAGTTGTTGAAAGATTCACTTTGTTCGCAGCAAACGACTGTTTAAAATGGCTTCGCTTGTTTTCAGTTAGCTTGGATGACCGAGTATTACGGACAAGCTGGCGTAGTTTTTGAGATAGCTTCTCATTACGAACGCGTCTAGGCCTAACTACAAGATCGATGTAAACAAATCGGCAACATAAACGTTTTCGCGTTTGGTACGTGGTTCATATTTATTTATTTTTAATATCACTAAAATAAAACTTCTAATAATGCTTCGCGAGGTGGCATAGGCAGACATTCTCGTTTTCTTTTCATTTTCACTGTTTAACTTATTAACCATCTAATAGGTGGCGCCACCATCCCAGCTGGGGCACGTAAACCACGTTAACGCTATCCCGCTAAACTATAAGTGGCTGCCCACAACGAACGTTTGCTGCACGGTAACGCCACTCCCTTAACCTACGCTATCACGCTAACGCTAAACTATAACTCTCTATTGCCCGCTATGGTATATAGGCCCCAGTGCCTTCTGAGGCAGCCGTAGTATCGGTGTAGTATCCCTTTATCTGCATCCGTGCATTACTTTACTGTTCCTGTATCTCTGTACGGCCATGTATCCTCCGAGGAACAAGTCGTACTGGGAACTTATCGTACAATTGCCCGCTGTAAGATAAGTTCCGTTGCACTCGGCAATGTGTGTGCGTCGCACGAGAAGTGTCCAGCGCCCTGCTGTGGCGTGTTTTTAAGTAACATCTTCCTTCGAAAGCACCGCACGATGCGTCAAGTAAAAACCATGTGCAACTGTCCCAATAACTGACATAATAATAAAAAAAAAAGGGTCAACGATGGCACAAATAGAATGTTCGGTGTGTCCACTGTTTCTCGCAATCGCGTTGTCGAATGACGTGGGTAACGGACGTAAATCGCGACATGTCACTGTGGCGCTTGTGCCTCTGGATAAAAAAAAAAAAAACAATTCATCGTTCGCCGTGTTGCATTTATACTACACGTACGCCGAAGCCGAAAATTACATCTACAGCGCGGTATGGAACACTTGGCTTGGTGCTTATCTCGTTGAGTCCATCAGGTACATGGTGCTAGTAACTCGATATTCCGCAAACGGCGAGTAATCAGCGGACATGCTAAGACACTTTGTTTACCGTGTCTGCAAGCCGTATTCGATTCTACGCAATACCAGTTTCCCGAAAAGCCGTACCGTGTACACGCGGCTTTGACGGTTGGTAGCGATGTCCCTTGACGTGTAATTTTAAACATACTGGCACTAAGCGAACGCCTCAGTAGCCTGCCATATCTTTACACTATCAAGTTTTAGTGCCCGTTTAATGACATAGACAAGCGACATAGGCATTAATTCCGCACTTACTCTCTCATACCTGCGCCCATTGAGTGCTCGTCCGCATAGAACCGTGCCATGGTCGCTAAGTTTTCGTATATAGGCAACCTGATTGAGCGACTTAATTTCCCTAGATTTTAACCTCTTTGACACCTTCTGGAAAAAAAAAGTATTACATCAGCCATATGGGTCAGTCTCGGCTACTTACTGCTACTGACATTTCGGATTATCTCGCATTCTAGAACGCACTAATACAATAAGTGATTTCAAGACATCTCCTGTTCTAACTAGCGTCCTTTAGAGAAGCTGATGTTTATGTCATTGTGGCAGCTTCATTTCCATGAGTTTTGTAGCGCAAAAAAAAAGAAAGAAAAAAGTGGTTACCCGAGAAAAAGTGAGCAAATACAAAACATATATCAAACCGGAACAATGTGAAAAAAAAACGACAACAACATGGTAATGTGCAGTTCTCTTACAGTAGTTCACATTGCAACAGAACGTTCTCCCACACAGTGACGTTTCTATAGTATCCGCGATACGCTGATTGGTACATCATTGCGGTTACAGCACCACAAAGCTGTTCGTCAAAGTGCTTATCCAGTTAAGTTTCAACTGAGAAGTACTTTAGCAAGGTCGTCGCTTTTTGCTGTAGATGTATTTCAAACCATGGTCCAAGTATACTTGGACCATGGTCTGAACCATGGTCCATGGAGCAAATTTCTAAACCCCTTAGGTTTGGAAATTTGAGAGGGCGTCTTTGCACACTTGCTTGTTTCTTCTCTAAGTTTGTGTCTCTTCTTTTGTGTATATGCTTTACGTATTAAAAAAAAAAGTGTGTGTTCGACGTCCTCATCTTCATGACTATATGTCAGTGGCATTCCGGTGAGTTGAACTGGTGTATCCTGTGCTTTGGCGTTTGGTTTACTTGGTGTTTTTTCAAAGAAAATTTTGCGCTTTGGGTAGTTTTTATGCCCCTTTCCATTTATATTTGATTGGTTTTATGCCTGCTGTTGCTGCACGTTGGAGCGGGCTATAGAGTCACCGTTTTTATTTTGTGTTATTTTCCTGTCTGGGTGACGGAGAGTTTGAGGTGCGATTTGAGGTGTATTCGCGGGCCCGGGAACTGTTTGCATACGCTATACTTACAGTAGGAGTCGATGAAGTAACGTCTCTATGTGTTGTGAGAGATCTGCCACCATGAAACGTTTTCTTGGCAGATCGACTTTTTAAATAATTCACTTGGTTCAGTGCTACACGAAACCGCCTCTCCGTAAAATATTTGTCAGCTTCTTGCACTATAAAGGCTGGTGCACACCGGCGACTAGCAGCGGTCGCGCGACCATTCGCGACTGGCGACCAAAAAGCGACTGATGTTCACACCGACAGAGGCTGCATGCGAGCGACCGGAAGTCGCAAAACCGGAGAGTCACGTCCGGATCTCGTTATGAGCGAGAACTCCTGAGACCGGCGCGATCAGCTGATCGCCGCCAGCTGAGTCCGTTCTCGCACAGCGTTCCCAACAGCGTCAAGTTCGATTCAAGCGAAGAACAAGACAATTTCATGGTGCTGATGCACTGTGCCATGGTGTCAGCGCTGGCATCACAGATGCCTCCAAAGAAAAAAAAAAGCCGGTAGTGGATGTGACCATCCTTTCGATCGCGGGAGTTGACCGGCCATGCAAGCCGCCTGCCTTCAGAGCTGCGCTGACACGACGAGGAGTATTTCCGAGAGTCGTACGTATTCAGAAACCATCCTTAAATTTCCCTTGACTTGCCACAGCCTACAATGCAGCACAAATGCGTCTCGAACGTGGAGTCTTAAGTCGTTGCCAAGACATGAAGTACAAACGCCTTCCAAACACGCTGCGTTGAATGCGCTGACAAGTCAAGTTCAAGACAAAAAAAAAAGTTTCCGAATACGGGGAAAAGACAGTGCACAATTTATTTTCTCTTTACTTTGACGGTGTTTAGCTTCTTGCGAATGCCACCCCGTAAATTCGACAATTTGCTCGAGTTGCTGTGGCCCGCCATCTCCAAGCCAAGTATTCCGTGGTGGCCATGGTGCCACAGACCTAGAGGAACGCACTCGTTTGTATCTGGCGGCAGGAAGCCAGCGCAATGAAAAAAAAAAAAATTGAGCATCGCTGATTGGTTAAGCAGCTTTGCGACTGCAGTCGCGCGACTGAAAAATCGGTCAAGAAGCGACTGGCCAACGCAGTCGCTTTGCGACCGTTTGCGACCGTTCGCGACTGGTTGCGACCAGTCGCAAATGGTCGCGCGACCGCTGCTAGTCGCCGGTTTGCACCAGCCTTAATACTCCAGATATCTGCCTTAGGGCACACATCTGAAGTTTATCTGCCTAATCATTCATTGCTCCTTTTTATCCTGTGTTGAAAGTATCCAATGAAATGCGATGTGATGTGGCATATTCCACACTTTCTGTAATATATTGTGTGTGTGTTTTTTTTTTTTTTTCATTTTCTAAGGGTGATCTCGCACATCTGCGACGACTCTGAGACACGGTACCGGATAGCATCTACGGATAGCAAACACTCCAATCAGATACGCAAGAAATATTAAAACTGTTTTCATTCGTTCAGCCTAAAATCGCGAGTGACAGCTCTGTGTAACATCTGGGCTCCTTGCACCATGTTGTGCAGAGCGGGAACGTGAAAATTTTATTAGCGCCGCAGAAAACTGAAGAGGGAAACTTCAACTTATGTTATCAGGTATCCGAAGGAACACCACTGCACCTCTGAGATTGTTGGGCGAAGTTAGGCCATGCACGTTCGGAGAACTGCTGAGATGAATTGGCCGCGCGTTGGATCTCGTATTTCACTAATAAACACTGCGCAGTGTTCTATAAATCAACTGGACATAAGTGATTCCACGGTCGAGAAAGTGTTGGGATGCATGGCACTGCCCAGCCCAATTGCGAAAGGCAACGAAAGCGCTGTTACGTTTTCTCAAAACACACCGCGGTCTGTTTCATCGTTTGTTATGTGAAGCTGTTACGTGTTGGCCCAGTCAGTGACGTTTTTTCTCCTCCTCCTCAACTTTCTTTCCCCTCTCCCCTTCCCCAGTGCAGGCTAGCCTACCGGTGCTCAGCCCATGGTTAACCTCCCTGCCTTTCTGCTTATTCTCTCTCTCACACACTCTTGAGGCGCCGCTGCTCAAGTACCAAAAAAAAAAAACACCGACGGTTAAGCCATGCGAGACAGGTCTATAGAAAATAGATGTATGCGATTTAGTGTTATGTTTACGCATTGCGCACCCGAGTTCTCGACTGCGCGAAAACGACGACGCGCCGCTGCATAGACGAGGCGTATACCGAATGTTCACGAAGCTGTCCTATATACCTTTGTGCAGGGTCATCTCAAACATCTGCTCTGTTGCGGAACAGGCCCCTGCTGTTGCAGGCACTCATGGTGAAGGCTTAATAGACCCAGAAGTGTGAGTATATATTTATATACCCAACCAAACCGAGGCGTTGCCAGTAAGTAACGCTCAGTTGCTGCCCCAAGTGCTGTCCACACATTATTTATTTATTTATTTATTTATTTATTTATTTATTTATCTAGTCGTTTATTTATGTTGTTACAACCTGAAGCCAGACTGTAAAATTAAAAATTTGTATTCAGTGTTTTTGCAGCCTTTCTGCTATACTGCATACTTTCTCGTGTTGCAACGTATACCTGTCTCGACATATCTGCTTGTGCTCTCCGTCCTTCCCATGTTTTTTTTTTTGTTGTTTTATGTTTTCTGCAGATGTTCTCCCGAAAGCTCCGTAGACGACGGACACGAAAAGAAGTAAGCGGTTACAGCTGCCATTAACGCTCATCACGTTTTATAAATCAGACTTGAGGCGTTGGCGCGATCAACTCTGATCGTATACGTGCAGAGGCCGTATTCCCTAAGCCGTAGCCTTAAGCGCATTTTTTTACAATGGTTGCCCGACATTGTGGAATCAGTGGCGATCACCTCGCCGATGACGCTTCACAATGGGCCTGCAGGACACACAGGTATACTTCAGGCGACGTAAGGTATGCGCGTTGTCAGCGTTAATTTAGCATATTGCTTGAAAAGTTGCGAGGGCCATGTTTTCAGTAAAGGAAACGTAACCAAGCCAGATTGTTTTGGTTGCAAGTTTGAACAAAGGTGTATACTTCAACCTTTAGTGGTTTTGTCCCCGTGGATAAAACAACAACAACAACAACAACAACAACAACAACAACAACAACTCGGTGGTGCAAAAACGCTTAAACAAAAACCACATTGCTCACAGCGGACAGCTCAGTATTGTTTCTAAATAAAGACTACCACGAAACAAGGATCAAAATGACCTGATGGATGTCTAAGCGTCCATAACAGGCGGCTTACTCTATTGCTAAAAAAAAGATGACTCCAATCCACGCTGTGAAGATGGTAGGACAGCGGAGCTGTAAACTACACCCAGAACGGTCAGCCCACGTCGCTTGAATGGCCTTCCGCTTTATAACTGTGTACAAACGTGAGATATGCTTCTGACCATCGCCGAGAGTGATGGACAAGACGTGCGTTCGATTTTGCAGACCGACCATGCATGCCGTTTCATCGCGTACACAGAACCGTGATTCGACGCGTTCGTGGCCCTGGCGCATTGCTTTCGGCGGCAAATCGTCGACGTCGTCCATCAGTCGTCGTGGCATGACGTCGTCGATGGTGCCTTTTGTCCGGGAGACGTTCGGAAGTCTGTGGGTCGAAGCGAATGTTGTTGAACTCGTAGAACGGACTCTGCACGAGGACGTCGATTAAATTTGGGAATTTCAGAACTTTGCGTTGCAAAGCAGTGTGACGCGTCGCTGAATTTTGGGTCGTTACTGACGATGCGCTCATCACGATGTCCAACTGAAGATGTGCTTCACAAGGATTTCGTTTTCGTCGCAGGAGAATAAAGCAAGAGCCCCAGCACGACGAAGAGGTGTCGTGGGACGCGAACGACAGCGTCGAAGGTCAGCTGGACGGCGAATCGTCGGGCGGCAACCAGGCCCCTGGGCGAGTGCACGACTGGAAGGCGACGTCAGAGGACACTGCGGATGCGTCGATGGCGAGCAGCTCAGCGCCTCCCGTTGCCGCCGGGTCGCAGCAGGACGCGTTCCACTACTTCGGTATGATGGTCGCCGACAGGCTGCGTCGGCTACCAAGGGGCGTGTCCCTCCGAGCCCTGAACGCCATGCACCAAGTGCTCTTCGAACACGAAATGGCGGCCGATTCCTGAGCCAGCTGCCAGCGCAGCCGTCTTACACTGTATTCAAAATGCGAAACGCAGAAGAAGACAACAGACCAAAAGGAAGACACACACACACACACACACACACACACACACACACACACACACACACACACACACACACACACACACACACACACACACACACACACACACACAGGGCACCTTTAAACCCTTTTATTCCTTCGTCGTCTTTGCGCCTTTTATTACGAATATTGCGATACCAACAGGCCCAGTTGTTTTCGCTCACATCGGTGTAGCAGATTTCATGTTTCACGTGTAAGGACTCGCAGGCACCTTTACTGGCGCGCATCTTGTGAGACCTTTGGTCTCGCCATGGACCATCGATCATTTAAGAGAACCGAAAGGTGGGTGGTCTTGGAACCTATCTATTATGTATACCGCACGGACTAAAAAAAAATCACTAATGAAGAAGACTGTACAAGCGCTAGTGGTGCAATGCGATACAAGCGCACAAATATATCTTTGTTGACAGGTCAGCGCTTGCACCGCGATGTCGTTCCTTCGTGTTTCGCTCGTTTGTGCATGCGCTCCAAAAATGATATCCTTCTTTCAATGACTTCACCGCAATGCCGTTCTTCGTCATAACCATTTCATCGCTGTTCGTTGCATTTTTGGACATAGAAGCTCTATCTTCGAGTCGTCATCGAGGTTCCGTCTTCACGCTCATCGCAGCACTTTTTGCGCCTACGTATACGAACGCCCGCCGACCTCAACGATTCATCCCACGGATTAGCGACCAGTTCCTTCACTATAGACAAAAGAAGTAACGGCATCGCAACTCAACGAGGGTTGTTTCATAATAACGAATGTTGCATGGGGACCCAATCTTGGAATGTGCAATTCCGAATGTCGACATTAGACCTTGTTCAGTTTTGTGCATCCAGTGAGCACGTCTCATATCTTTCAATAGAGTGGGCAATGTTTGAAAATTGCTTCTCTGAAAGCCTACCATGAGAGGATGGCTTTCGAGCAGTTCTTGGGTGGTATCAGGAAAGAATGAGTCGAGGCTGTAATTCCGTGTCTAGTCAGATCTGCATCTCTGTTCATTCATTAACAAAACTTTGTGTCCCGAAGCCCGGTCTTTTCAGACCGAGGCGGGCCGCGTCCACGTCGGTACATTAGGCTGAGCTTTGTGGCGTCATCGTGGACCTTCTGGACTGCCCGTAGCTGGTCTTGATAAGACGCGCTTCGCACCATCGTCTGCCAGTAAAGCCATTGTTCTTCGGGGTCGGCGAGAGTCGCGGGACAGCCCGCCAGCATGTGTCTGATCCCTATGATGCCATCGCACGCGTCACACTTGTCTTGAATTTCACTGTCAGGTAGAATTTTATGTAGAAAATACGGAGCTGGGTAAGTTCCGGTTTGCAGTAAACGTACCGTGACTGCCTGAGCCCTGTTCAATTTTGCGCGTGGCAGTGGGAATCGCCTACGCCCCAAGTAATAATATTTTGTGATGCTGTAAGTGATTCAATTATCTTTATAGCCCCCGCAATGGTAGTGGGCTGCGGGCATCTCTGTTGGCAAAGTTGACGTTATACACGACTGCTTCCACGCGTGGCCTTGCAGTAATTTAGAAGTGTGGCAGCTTGGGCTAGTTGGTGTGACGATAGCGCTCGTGTCCTTCGTGTCCTCCTTGTCTCTGTGTCGTCGTTTTGTTCTCGCGCTTTAACTATCGTCTTGCAGTAAGAACACGGGTGTACTTACATTTCACGCGCATGTAGGGATGTATACTTATGACGTCGCCTGCATCATATACTTGTGCTCCTTGAGCGCATATGGGTGGAAAATACTCCTATTACGAGCAACCTGGATATGGCAGTCGCTTGAGCAAGTACAAGTGCTTGCACATCGTACTACAGGGTGTGTTGGACCACAAACAAGCAACAAGTCGTCGTCCTTTTCTTTTTCTCTCTTTTTTTCAGTAAGGTACGTACATTTGAGACACGTTGGGCGTGTGCTTATATTGAACGTCAATCCTCAATAAAGATATTTGTTTCCTATAGCTGCTCTGTTGTTCTTTTAAACAGGAGCGCCACGGCCAGGCGGTGCAGACAATGCTTGATTCAAGGCTTAATATTGAGTATAAGTCTTCAAGGCTTCGTGATCGGGGTCCCGAGAAGTCGAGATCAGCTCCTTATAAAACTTTTACAACGTCGTAGGCAAAACGCATATCGTCGTACGTTCCGTTATGCACATCTTGGCAATGATCACCTCTGCATACTGAAGGCCACAAGGTGCGTTTTTAGGTGTTATCGTTCGGGGTTTTCACCGTTCGTTTTTAGATGTTATCGAGCCACTGAGAGGAGAAGCAAGTGTGTACCCGTAATGGACAAGGAGAGAGTGAAAGTTGGTCAGGAAAGCAACGGGTGTTAAGGACATCTGGTCGAAATCAAGAAATGGGCACGGCATGCTGCGCGTAGGCAAAATATATGCTGCGGGTCACTAAGAGTTACAGACTAGATTACAAGAGAAGGCAAGAGTGCGAGGAACGTCTCTTCACTCAAAGCTTCACCTTGGCTTGAGAAGATCGACGGGAGCGCCGTCTCTCGGCCGACTAAGTCACTGCATGTCGGCGATAGTATGCTGCGACTCTTGAGAAGCGCAGCGTCATTTTCGGCCGAGCAGCGGCGCTGTACTCAACTATGTCGAGAGGACTAAATTGATCTGTACTATGATCTGTAATGAGGTGGTTTGGTCATTGACATTGTGACTGTATGTGGGCTTAAATATACGTGTTGTAAATTGTATGTATGGAAATTGTGACAACGGTTAGCTCGACGGACAGAGAGCGTGATGGATGTAGTACGAATGCATAATATAGTGAAGTATGTTGACGTCACTAGCTCTGCCGTCCCACCTGCAACTGGGCACATTTGAACATCTGCAACCAGCGACACTTGCTATATACGATAAGCTCCTGTCGCAACGAGGGTCTCTAAGGAGAGGCGTTGATACGAACCAATATAGGGCATATTACGCGAAGATTGTCAGTTCTAATATTATTAATAAAAACAAATAAACTAACATTGTTCCTTGAACGAAAGAAGGGGAATTCAACGGGTAGTTTTTTTAGACCAACCATATGCATAAACCAACAGGTAACGAGGCCAAAGAAGGCATAGAAGACGTTATATGGGTCATTTAACTGTACTAAAGTAACTATGATATGGATGTGAAGAATTAATCTGGAAAAAAAGAGAACTTGCCGCCAGCGGTGACCGATTGAGCTATGCGGCGGGCGTCCTGCCGTCGATGTAACACTGGCACGTTTATATACGTATACACGCGAAAGTGACGAAAGAGACGACCGTTGCTAAAACTCAACTCGTTGAGCATCGGACACGTTCTCCGAATGTCACCGGTCCGGCCCTGCTTGCGGTAAGTTGTCTTTTCGTCCGCCTTTTCCCCCATTTATCATAATTACTTGAACAAATTAAAAAAATTGAAGTAAATAACGTCTCCTCTAGCAGTTTTGGCTCCATTGTGTCTTGGTTTCCACCAACACCGATCTCGTGTGGAATGACGGTTCCTCTTCAATAAAAATTGGGGACGATAAGGGAGTCTAGGTCCGAGTAAGCTTCTGAGAAGTGCTTTTTCCAGCTTTCTGCGTCCCTACTTTCTAATGTAGTGGGGGCAGGACGAGAAGCCGCCCGCAACACGTGCCACACAAACAAAAGCTTCTTCACACATCAACAAGTTGTGCCCGTGGTAACCGAAATAAAGTCGTACGGAACAAAAAACAAAAAAACGACATTTCGTCATCGTCCGAGGCACTTGCTTACATCTCGGTTTGTAGAGGTATGCCATTTCTTTGGTCTGATTTACTGCTATTTTCTTTTAACCAGATCAACAGTGCTTTGTGGTTAGTCAGCGCGCTTATCATTTCAACGCGTAAAGAAGCCTGGCTTGGATAATTATTTGTTGCCACAAATTTCAATGAATTTTTATAACGCGTATACCAATGCCACGTGTGAAGCATATGCCATCGCCATTTCTTTGAGGGTGATTATTATGATGAATATCTCTCTTCCATGGCTCATACCAATTCAGAAGGATTGGACAAGAATTGATTATATGAATTATTTAGAAATTTCCAGTATTAGATAACGATAATAAGAAAGAAGAAAAAATGCGCTTGAAAACTGAAAGAGTGCAATAATTATTTTTTTCTGTCTTCTTTCTTTCTTTCTTTCTTTCTTTCTTTCTTTCTTTCTTTCTTTCTTCCTTTCTTTCTTTCTTTCTTTCTTTCTTTCTTTCTTTCTTTCTTTCTACACTTTGTTTTTCGTCACTCTTCTGTCTTTGATATTTTCTATCTCTCTTTCTGTATGGTCCTCTGTACTCCTTTTCCTTGTCAACCTGCGCATCGCTCCTCCTCACCCCACTTCTCTTTCCCACTCCTGGCTAAACTATACTGCACATTCTTATGCCATGGTATACCGCCTCAGCTCCCCCTTCTCCTTTCGCTCCTCCTCACCCTGGCTTCTCTTCCCCATCCCTTTGCTAAACTATACTATACGTGCCTTTGTCGTGGTTTACTACTCCGCTTTTTCCCTTCTTCCTTACTGTCACTTCTCTTTCCCACCCTCTTCTCATACTACACTGCATGGTTGTGCTATGCAGGGATCCGCTGCATACCAGTGGAGTTTCCTCTCGACTCACATGGCCTTACACCTGACTTAAACGGCTCCATTATTAGAATAAAAAGTTTACTGAAATTTATAACAATGTCATATATGAGGGGACGTTATACTCGCTATATAGAAGAAACAGAAGAGAGATGTTGTCACCTTTCCAATGAGTTAAATGATGCCGTGACTATCGAGATAAAATGCAGTGACCATTAAGCAATTAACTGCAGCTAAACAGTTCAGTCGTCGACAATGTGCATATATTGTAAACAGAAGAGCGACCAATCAACGCAATCAGCGTTGTTTATTGATGGTTCCCTTTTCCTACATTTTCGTTTATATTCAACTTGACTGCGAGCGGCTGTGTATATGAGTTGCATAACCTAACAGCGACATTTGGAAGCGCTTCTGGCCAAA